ATTGGTTCGACTTTGTATAATTGTAAAACAAAAAAATATTCAACTTCATTTTTCTTCAATCTCCTAAATCGTCGGCAGGCTTAGAGTCAGCGTTGACAGAAGACTGACCCAAACCCACCCTCCTACATACCCCTAACTAAAGGAAAACGGAGAATACATTGTCCAGTAGTCCTACTGTGTTAGATAGCATTACCATGAGATAATCATCTGGATTATTTTCAATGACAAATCCATAAAGATAAAGAAGCTCCTGCCAAGGATGGAAAAAAATATAACCTTATCAGAAAGAAAGAATAAAAATAATAAACAATAAGCTCATTCTGTAAAGGAATTTCAATGCAGAAGAAAACTGTGGACGTAACAATTTAATTTAGAGTAAGCTAAAGATGTTTCCTTCTATCATATATGCCCAAGTATAAAAAGAAGAAAGCAATATTCACGGTTCACAGACAAGATTTTCGAAACTAAAAATTGATACCTCGTTCCCCTTGTTACCGTAACTGATTGAAACCTCCTTGATTCCAGAAGACCTTGCACCAGCTTTTCCGGATATATCAAGTATAAAGAACTGTTAGAAATATGCAGTAACATTATACTGAAAAGGGAATGGAAGAGTGAAATGACAACAAGGAATAGATGGTTTCATTGGCCTCGGGGGAAAAATGAAGTTGATGAAAGATAACAAAGAGGTCCTCACTTTTCCAACAAAGTTGAGTATTTAATCATTTCAACACCAAAGCTCAAAGAAATCTGAATTCTAGAAGGGAGAAGTCTAGATCATATGAAACAGAAGGATAAAAAAAGGGGTGGAGAAAGGATATGGAATTCCAACATAAGCATTGAAGAGTAAAAGGCATTATAAGACCAGAAAAGGTCACAATACCAGAGAGGAGGTACATTGAAAAAGGCACCCCAGTAATTGATCCTGGTCCATCAACTTCCCATGTTGTTGTTGCTTTCAGATCTGAAAGTATGACGTTTAGTCAGAGAGTGACTGATGTCAGAATTTCGCAACCATGGCCAGTATCAGACAATGTTGACAAGCAAACATCCAAAGAAAAATTCATTCCATCCAACAGCTCCAAAAAATTTCCAGACAGCACATTCAATCTCTTCAACACTACCATGAAAACAAAGTTTAAACAGGCATTTCCTGTTATTTTGCGTTTTTTTTTTAATTATAACTTATACACTTGAAAAAGTTGATCACTATTCCGGGAGGTATCTCTGACCCAATCGATAATCCATTTTTATAACATGATTCTATTGGTGAAAGAAAAAAAGAATTCATACAGGATTGCAATGAAACATCATCTGTATAGAATTTGTTCCGAATAAAGTGAAATAAACACAAAAGTGAACAAGGGATCAAAAGAACTGTAGTATCTGATAAATTTCTACACACCATGATTGCAAAAGTCAATGCCAGGAACAAGACCCTCCACCCAAACAGTTTCTTGTTTCAAAGGCCCAAATGTTTTTTCACTAGCTGTGCTATCAGTCATCCGATGATCTTCACATCCTGAGATTGAATTAGTTGTAAGTTCACGTAAAATAATTCCTCCCCATATCATCACAAAAACCAACTTCAAATAACTTAGGTACAAGGGCGAGCACCCTCTTCATTTTTCGGGCAAGCCAACTGCACCTCGGAGACAGTAGAAATTGAAACCTCAGTATTTTCTTCGGTCAAGGAGACACTTCCAATCTCTTCTTCAATTTTAGGGAACACATAAGCATGTGGCATTGGAATGTTCAAGGCACGTGCCCAAAAAATGGAATTTGCCCTAAAAAATAATCATGTTCGATCTTGGATGAAACATGAATGGATAGTTAAGCAGAGGCTCGTTAAACAAGATTAAGATAAAACTATCCTGCTAAGTTGCATACCATAGGAAATCTTCAAAGCTCAACTCCCTGAAAAAATGAAAATAGAATATAGCACATAAAATGACTTTCCTTTGCATCAGTGAACAGCATAGTGATACAACATTAAAGACAAAAACAGACAGAGCAAAGTCTAACTTTAAAAAAAAAAAAAAAAGAAGAAAAAAAAAAGCCAAACTTTCATTTGTAGAATACAAGGGGGAATAAAGACAAACAATCCAGACAAATGAGCTGAGTAATAAAAAGAAATTCCAATCAAGCAAAATAAGACCTAAAGGATAATCAGAAAATGCTTTAAACACCAAAGACCACTGAGATTCATGGAGTGGAACCTAACCAGGAACTACACATCTGAGGACCTCTCAACCACTTCAAAGATTCTATGGTTCCTCAAAATAAGGAACTTTAAGGATAAGATACGATCGTATATCAAAGTAGGAAAATTTTTCTAAGGACATACAGTAAAAAAAGAATTGTTTCCAAATGATCAATTTGAAACAAAAGGAGAAAATGGCATCCAAGTTACAGACCTTACTGAAGACCCATCAAGAGTCAACAATCTATTAACCAATTTCTTCACTTTTTTTTCATACAATGACTGCAATGAATTTTTCTGCAAAACAAGAAAAAAAAAATTAATGGATTCTTGGTTAACAGGTAAGTCTGGTATGAGACATCACCATAAAATTGTAATGCAGAACATGATGATTCATATAACCATGTACAGTGAGATTCTGTGTGTGTGTGTGTGTGTGTGGTGGAGGGGATACCTGTGATTTCCTGGCCATCTATTTGTAAAACAAAATAAAATTAAGGGCAATAGGGGTAAACTACAACTGCATTAACCATCATTTTTAACGTGCAACCTTGAGACTCATGCAGTTGATCATGAAGATTGATCATAAATGGTATTCAACAGTATCAATAAATTGACTCCATTTCTTCAGGTGATAAGACAGTAGCAACTATTCTGTATGAACTAACACTAAGATTCATATAACATATAGCAAAATGTACTTCGCACCTGCAGTTCAGTTGCTCGATGAAGTGTGGTACCCTTCAGTTCCAAAAGCTCGTTATCAGTAAACCAAAGTGGATTCCCAAATCTTGCAGGAAGCACATCAAGGTACCTGATAATTAAATCACTGAGATATCACCAACTATAAGACAGAAAAGTAAATGATCATTTAGAAAGAACGTTTATCAGAAACATAAATTAAGAAATGTCAAAGATACATACGGTTTCCATGAAGAATTTTCACGAAGCCGCTCAACCATGAGAAATAAATTCATCAAAAATCTATCATCTACTTCACCTTCTTCATACATTGCTCTACACTCTGGTCCATAAAGAGGATCTTGCAAAACTCTCATTGGAGTAATAGCTAAATTTAGGGGAACAACTAATAGAACCCCTGCACAAGTAAGAAAATGATTTAGTTCCCAGAGAAACTGAGAAGTTATGACAAAAGTTACCCTGAAGTACTCCTAACAAGTATGATTACAAAAGCAAGTGTGTTAGCTTCTCTTTTTCAATAAGTAACCATACTTCTAAAGATTGATGATCAGAAAACTTCTAAAGTCCTTTCAAGAGGAGGCGACTCTAGAGAAGTGTCTAACGTTTTCCAATGTTCCTTGCATAAGTAGCAACAAGAGAGGGAAATTTGATGGTGTTTGGTCTGGAAACTAGCTTGTATGTTAAATGTTAATACCAAGAAGTTTTAAGTTCAAAGAAATTTTTTAACTTTTTCGAGACTCTGTATTGCAAAAAAGTTCAAGAAAAGGCCAGGGGAAGGGAGACCTCCCCTCTGCAAAATTTCACGAAAATAGACTTGGCAGAGAGAACATCTGAGCTTTTATCAGTCAACTGTCGCTAATCTGGGCTGTTGGAAGGCTCATAGTTTCACAGCAAGAACAGGAGGCCCAAGAGCCTAGGACTGATGTGCTCATCACATAACCAGCGACTGATGTGCTATCTATCTATCATCATCATTACAGAGAACAAAGAGCCTAGGAAGCCTAGAAAATTGGCTATGTAGCAGCTACCAGCATCCAAGAGTCCTTATAAAAAGAATATTACTATTTCTTCCTACCTTCAAATTCACTCTCGCCCACCAAATTATTTAGAGACTATATACCAATTCCATTGAATTTAGTCACCAGAGCTACTCTGCAGGAACAATCACCAACCTCCACTGGAAAAACCAGATTTACTATTAATGCACCGTACCACCAACATCAAGTTTGATAGAAGTGATTATTATGAAAACGAACTACTATTTTTATTTTTATTTTTTTTCCTTAATCTTTCATAGACGCCTTTAGTTAGAATTATTTGTATGGCACATCTACGAAATTCAAATTCATTTCCAAAATAGGTCGTGTGTATAAAAAAAATAGATAAAAACTTTGAATGATAAACTCTCCACATAGAAATTCATGAGCTTCTAGCCCGATATTTATTTCTCAAATAATCAAACAACAGCGAAAGCCAAAGAAACTGCCAAGCAATTTGGCTTCATACTCAAACACTACCGCATAAATTTACCCGCATGAATACAATTCAATGTGGCAATAAAGAAGATCGAAATTTGGAATACCGTCAGAGGCATCGTTAGCAGAAAAAAGTCCACATCCTTTGCTTAAATCGCTATATTTGATCGTGCAACCTCGAAGTTCTGCTCCATTAACCTAAATTGAATCCCAGTAAATGAAAAGCCAAAGAACTCTAATTCATAACTCAGCTACACACGCATATGAACACCACTTGACTGAAAAATAAGATGCTACTGATTTCCGGAATCATGGAAACTGAAACCATTAAGCTGCTTAATTTTCTGACATCGTTTTCTTTCGATTACCTATTCAGGAACTGAGAATAAGTTCACCATTGTTACCTGTAACCATTGGAGGAAAAGTTCGAGCTTAGCTTCAATGGAGTTCGCCATTTTGTGATGACTGCCGGTGACTGTTGCGTCTTAGGCACACTAACACAACGGCGTTTTTGGAGGGTAATGGCCGAGCGGCATTCTACAAGGGCAAAATTGTGAAACGATTATAAAATTTATTATTTTTTATATTACTCTATTTTGAGACCATAAAACTGCCTCTGCCGTAGCGCGAAAATCAGCCCCGCCGTCACGCTGCCCCGGTGGGCTTCCTCGTCGCTCACACAAACAGTTCTTGATTTCTCTCCCTTTCTGTAAGTTTTCGGTTCCACTCGAAATTACTCCAATTCTCTCGGTTCGCAGTGGCCATTTGGTTCTGAAAATCCCGAATATCAATGTTAAATATTTGACGTTAATGGTTAATTGGAGTTCGTCTTCTTCTATAGCTATGGAGATTGAGTTTACTGTGATTCAATTCTATAAGTTTCCTTGTTTCAGATTTCGTGCATTTAGGTTGTGTTTATTCCTTTGATTTAATGCGTTGCAATAAGTTTTTTGTGTTGATGGCATTCAGTTTCTCTAATTCAAAATCTAGGGCTTAGCTTCGTTAATAGATTACACCTTTGAGTAATCACACCTTTGAGTAATCATTAGTTAGTAGTCAACCTAAACCTAGCTCAATTGGTTAAGTCATATGTTCTTGATCAAGAACTCAAACGGTTCATAAATCTAGCTCAATTGGTTAAGTCATATGCTCTCGATCAAGAACTCAAACGGTTCAATCCCCCATGTTTGACTGTTGTGTTGAATTCAAAATGGAAAAAGTAATAATCAGTATGTCTTGGGACAAGATCATATTGGGTTAAGTGTTAAGGGACCAAGAGACCAACGGTTGGAGGCTGCAAAATCAATGTATTCGTTCCTGTAAACCCAATGTATTTCCTAGTTTCTAATGTAACATATCATGTTTTCAGGATGTCTCCGGTGCGAATTCTGGTTATGTATAATGGCAATTGGATTTTTAGTGAGAATGGTTTTGAATTCAATGGTGACGAACTAAAAGGAATCATCGTCGATGAGAAGATTACGTATATCGATCTTTTGGACAAAGTCTATGTCGAGTTTTTCATTGGTGAGAATCTTGTAGACGACCGTGTTGTGCATCACTATCAAACGTAGAGAATCACTAGATCAAGGGGAGGAGGTACGTTATCCGGTTGCGTTCGATTCTGGAAGTGAAGTAATCAAACTTCTGGTTTTGTTCCTACTGCACAAAAGTCTGAAATTCCTCCCTTTCTTGCTCTTACTGAAATTGAAGAACAAAACACAACTGCCATAAGCTGTGGCCCTCAGGCAGACTTGAATTGTGATGATGAGATGCAAAATGTTGATCAACATCAACATGATGATTGTAATGATGATAGAGGACATGATAATGAGGTAGAAAACAAGCATATGCAAGACGATACGTACGGTTGTAGCGATGAGATTCATCCCCATACCTCGAATGATATGTATTTCGATAGTTTTACCATCCGAAATGGCAGAAAAGACGTCCAAGAATATGTAACATGTGATCCATTGAACTCGAGCATTCAACCGTGCTTATATTCTGAGCAGCTGAACACTGATGTACCAAAAAATTTAACTGTTGAGCAGTTGATGTCGGATGATACTATAGCAGTGGGTCAGACTTACCCAAGCAAGAAGGATGTACAGAGCAAGTTAAGTCTTATGGCCATAAGGGGAAATTTCAAGTTCAAGGTAAGGCGTTCGACAAGAGATTTATTGTTCATTTTATGTGTAGACAAAAGCTGTAAGTGGCGATTTCGTGCATCGAAGATGAACGATTCGGACTGCTTCTTGATAAGAAAGTTCCACATCGTCCATACTTGTTTGACAGAGAAAGTTCATTGCAACCATCATCAAGCCAGTAGTTGGGTTGTTGGTCAGCTGATTAAGTCCAAGTTTGAGGAAGGTGCATCTGATTATAGACCAAATGACATAATCAAGGATGTAGAGGAACAACTTGGAGTTACTATATCTTATGATAAAGCTTGGAGGACACGGGAAATTGCTTTTCGATACCTAAAGAGATCCCGGGATTGAGAGAGGCAGTCTCGAGGGAGGCCAAGGAAGGAAAAACCAGTATCGATTGACAAAGAGTCGTCTCTACGATTGTGTGGGACGTGTGGTGGTCGTGGCCACAATAGAAAAACTTGTAGGACTCTTCTTGTTTTGCAGTGAAGTGCTAGAGAACTGGGAGTTGATGAAAGAGTAACACCATGAATCCCAAACCAAAATTTATTTAGGATATGTCATGGGTAAGAGTTTATAATACTAAATAATAGTTTAGATGCACATTCGATTAATTTTTTAGGGATAAGACTCGATGATTTGTGTAGCATATTAAAGAACAAAACCTCAGTTCTTGTCTCAAAATACATATATAGTCAGCCTCAAGCCTCACTCGTGAGAAGATTCAGTCTTCACATCACAATACAAACTATACATTCAGCACCTTCTGAAACTCGTCGGTGATGTCGATGACTTCACTTTCATGTTCTTTTCTCTTCAATTCAGAAAGCTGTAAATTCAGTTCAACAATTTGCTTCTGAATTCTTTCTCCCCTGTCTGGTAATCTTGAGATAAGGACCTGATCATTCATTCACCCAAAGAAAATTTGAGCTGTTTGGATCAAATGAATTAAAACCAAAACGACGCCGGGAGGTGGCGAGATCTAGAGGTTTAATGGCTCGTTATGGACATTGGTAAATAGACTCTCTAGTAACTATGTCTTGTTTTGATTTTGTTGGATTGGATCTGTTTTTTGAGCTACCCCGGAAAAAATAAGGCATTGTTTGCTGGTTGTGTCAAGATTTTATTGTTTTGAACTGTCATTCAAAAGGGAAAGTTGCATAGAACCGTACCTTATTTTCTAGAGTTTGGGACAGCCGATTGATTCTCTCTTTGATTTCCCTTTCAGTTGGCTTGCTTGGACTGCTGCTTGCATTTGTAGCAAATCTATTCAACTTCACATCCTTTGGGTTAAAAGCAAACCTTGCCCTGGAAGCAACGTAAAGGATGTTATCTCACCATGTGACAATGTATTTCTTCGGTAACTGAAAAGTGTAACGTATGAACTCATACCCATTTGTATCAGGATCGGGTGAAGAACTTGATGTTGCTCTTTCACCAAAAGCAAACTCCTTATTCCTCCTACAACCATATTAACATACAACTGGTTAGTTTAAAAGGGTAAAGAACATTGCAAGGCTTATAATTATCTTTTGTTTTTGTTTTTTAAATAAGGACAAGACTTATGATGATCGAAACACCAAATATGAAATATAGCAGCCTCCTGCAAACAACACTTATTTAACATGTTTGATTACTTTTATTTCTAGACCCTGGTACATGGGAACTAAAAGTACTCAAATCCCTCCCTTCCAAAAAAGAATTAATATTATCGTCCGATCTCATCTCACACTTTTTTCCCATCATCCTGCGGTAAATTATGATTAAAATTTGCCAATTTTTTTTTTTATGTTTTCCCTGGCTAAATGCTTAGAAATAGAAGTGGAACGTAAAATAAAGCTACCTGAACGATGCCTCTTCTTCCTCCAATACGTGCACAGGTTCTGGAGCTGTCTTAGAGAAGAGCAAATTGTGGTGACTAACTCCCGCAATACCTTGTGTTTCCAGGAACTTTATGTGACATTTCAAAGAATCGTCCCTGTAGCCATGAACAACGAGTGAAAACGGGAAAAGTGGAAAGAAAAAAATGTTGACAACTGCAAAATGTCGGTTATGGTCTCCCGTTTAGCAGCCCCAAAGGACTTCAAAGACTAGTAAAACAGTAAGACAAATCAGGACGCTAATTATCAACCTAACTGCTAATACACTCATTTCTTCTCACGCAAATTCTCGACCAAATAGAAGTGTAAACATGTAGGGTATCGAAATCATATTTACCAAACCCCGTAGACTCTTAACAAATCATACTAATATAATCCACTAATGATCCTACTCAACTAGTACAGTCCAGTTGATAAAAGAGTTTTCATCTAAAATTCAAATCTCTCCAAAACGCAGAATGCTAAATATTGAGGTGTTTTCCACCTTGGTCAAATTTAGTATCACTTGAAACCTGTAGTCAGATGACAATATCAAAAATTTTAAATTATTGTATTGTAAACCATAGGCATAAAGTGTTAAATGTGAACATGCATCTGGATGCCTTATCATATGCTTTAGTGGAATCTATTATTTGAATCGTACATCGTAATTTGTCGATCATGTTCCTCATGCAATTGTTGTTGTGTGACAGATATATCGAACCCCTCTTTTGGAAGGCTAAAAAGCTCCCGAAGATCCTGAAAATTTTACAATGTCAACCACACAATCCAACAGGCAAAACAAATAGATTATTTACATGTATTACCTGTTGACTAAAGTACCGTATCTGTTCTTTGTGCTCTGTTGCGGTTTTAAACAGGCCCCCTTTATAAATCTACAAATACATTTTAGAAATCAAAACAAGTGATAGTATTCCGTTCAAATTAAAAATGGATTTTTTTTAAAAAATGTATAACGGTTATTTTCTCACAGAGGCGTCTATGAGCCTTCCCCAGCAGGAGCGCAAAACAAAATTACTGACAAATAAGGTCTATGGAGAAATCATGGGTATATGTATAGGGAAAAAGGTTTACCCACTTGGCCAGTAAACTAATCTACATCCACAGGTTTGTGTATGTCACATATATATTTAACATCTATGCTTAATAAGAGTTGTACATCTAACAAACATTACCTGTTTCCTGTAGATCTTTTCTTCAACAGTCCCACAGGTCATTAATCTGTACACTATAACATCTTTCTTTTGTCCAATTCGGTATGCTCGATCAACACTTTGGTTATCAGTACTACAAACAGATTGAGAACATCTAGTTAATTGCTGGTAGTGGCTTATTTCTTTAATTGATTCAATCAAAGATATACAGATAAACAGGAAAATAAACTTATGAAGAAATATCCATAACTATCTTTTCAGTCATTTTGTAGGAAACTAACTTTAATTAAAACATGTTTGTTACTGTTTAACCAATCAATGACAATTTTCTCATGTATAACCATAAAGAAATAAAATAAAATGAAACAATAATAGCAGAGAAAAAAAAGATGAAAAGATATAGAAATCCGCCTTAATTGAAAGAAGATATTTAGTCATGATATTCTTCAACAAATTTGAGCTGCAACGTTGATGCAAGCATGAGAAAGAAATAAACATATATATTTCAAGAACCTTGGATTCCAGGCAGGATCTACTACAATTACACGATCTGCTCTGGTAAGTGTAAGACCTAAACCACCAACTTGAGATGTCAAGAGAAAAATAGAAGGTCCTCTACCTTCTTGAAAATCCTAAGAAGGGGGAAAAAAGTTCATATCAAGACTAAGGTTATATGAATGTATCTTAGAGTCTTTCGGAAATTTACTTACATTTACAATCTTTACTCTGTCGGTGGCTTTTGTAGTACCGTCAATTCGCAAGAACTCATAATCATTGGATAATAGTGATTCCTACAGAGAAAAGAATACCTATATTAATTACTTCAACATTAACTTCTAAACATCTTGATTAGAAACGGTGGTACTCGTTGCAGATGCCAATTCAAGTTTCCATGAACTGGTGCATTTTTATTCAATTTCACACAACAAATACTCCCACGAACAAGTACATTCTATTAAAGATGTCCCTTTTAACTTTTAATTTTTTTTAATTATATCAACGAGAAGTTGTTTCTTATTAAAAAAAGAAATTTGGATGGATAAATTGCATGCCACTGTTCATATCAAAGTTGTTTAATAGCATATTTATCATCAATCATCCTGACATTTTGCACTATGAACCAATAACCCTATTTTGTAATGAAACAGTGTCATTTGAATACCAAACGTCAGCATAAGTCAGAGCCAACCTCAATAAGATTGAGCATCTTGCGAGTTTGAGAGAAGATTAGAACATTATGCCCCTTCGGGATCAAATTATCCTGCCAATAACAGAAAGGACGTTATATTGAATATACTAGCTTTTATGAAATTCAACAACGGATTCAATCAAACATCACTAACCAATAAAGACATTATGAAGGATATTTTGCAAGAGACATTGTCATTATACACTTCATAATCATCCCTATCAGCCACATTTGCTAAATGCATTGCCAGCTTCTCTGCTACACCAGCATCTTCTGGGCTTAGCACAGTTTCCATTCCTTCCAATAGATCTTCAGCTGCTCTTTTCGTCAAAAGAAGTGGATGATCGCATATTTTCTTAAGAATCTACACCATACCAAATGAATAATTAACTTACATATAACCTGTGGCACTCCCCCATTTGTGGCATGGGTGGATGATGATGCCATTTCAAGAAAGAAAAGATAGTGTTAGAACATAGATGAGGGCGGGGGGTATCACTTGATCTCAGCTTTATTAAATGGTGGATTAGTTTTTCTTTCAATTTTCTAATTCAAAAAAAAAATTGGGAAAAAAATTAGCGCAACTTGCATTGTGAATAGTAGGGCATAAAATTCCAAAAGAAGAGATGTAAAGGCATTGTATTTAATGAATGTTCTTAAATAAAAAAGCCATCGTTCATTAGTTCTAAGACAATCCACATGAAGCAAACAGCACTGTCAAGTGTCAACAGAAAAGCAGTAAATGATAGGTAAATTGCATAATAATAGAATTTTCTTAGATATTTAATTGTTCCAACAGCGCAAACACTGTGCTTCAGAATAAGAGAAGTACCGTAAGAGCAGCCAATGGTGAGCCATCAAATGCTGAAAGTACCAATTCACTTTTCAAAAAAGCTTCATAAAGTTTTCGCTGCATCAATTAATTTGGGAATGCATTATTATTATACTTTGAATGATGTGATCAAGAAGAAAATTGATAAATAATTGATCGAACCTGACAACTAGTCAATTTGAGCCAAACAATAATGTCATTCTTTTTAGAGAGTTTGGTAGCAGCTTGATTATTATCCTCGTTAAACACTTCACTCTTCATACGACGCAAAAAGTAGGGTTGGATACGTTCCCGTAACTCCTGTAAAAAGGTACCAAATAACCATTTTTGAAAAAGAAGGTTGGAAAAAATGCACTATATATGTATATACATATATACACTGACCATGATAGGAGGATGCAGCTCCATTAATATACTTACAATGCTACAGATAGCTAGTAGACAGTGTTTATTCATAATGAACATAAGATGGAAATTATTTCATTCATTGATAAACATTACAAAAACCGAAGATAATGAATTCTCCCAACGCCAAAGAGTTAGTTTCT